ACCTACCAGCTTGCTGACACATCCATCCCACTACGCATTTAAGGAGCTGAATCAGAGGAGTCTGTGAATCAGAGAAGCCTCCTGTCCCTTCTGGGAAAAACCTCCCCACCAATCTGCACGCCAGCTCCTTCCACCCTAACCCCAGAACCCCTGACCATGAGTTCTAATGGGAAAAGAAAATGCCTTCAGAGCGTGAGCCCGACTTCTCCATTCTCTGGCCATGGGATGAATTGCCTGCCTGCCATCGAGTACTGGTTACCTGGCTACGGTATTGAGCAGGAAAGCACTCGCCACTTGGGAAACACCCTCATCCCACAGAAACCTATGGGGAAGGTTGGAGGTGGGTGTAGACCAGGAAGGGGCACAAGGGAACCTCCTGGGATATTGGAAAAGTTTTATATCTTCACCTAGTGCTTACTTATTATTTTTTTTAATCAAGAAGAATATATACATAAGACTAAGGAAACTAATTTTGCTGTATGTACATTAATACTTCAACTACAAAAATATTTTTTTGCCTTGTTCAAATCCTCCAAAGCTAGAATTCTCTCAGTTCCCCTAAAGTGCTGCTGCCACATCAGGCCCACTTAGCTCCTGCCTCCTGCTAGGATGATTTTTTGCACTTTGTTTCCAGACATGCTTCTACTCAGACCTCAAAACTCAACTCAAATGTCACCTCTTTTCTTCTCTAGAACGTCCCTAAATATACCTCTGCCAAACACTATCTCCCCATTCTCTGTGCTTTCCAGGCAGATTTGTGCAACAGAGTTACAGTTATTTACCAGTCTGCAACACTCGTGAGCCGCCAGCCTTGACATATATATGTCATGCCCTTGGAGCCCACCACAGGGCCACAAAAGACCTCATTCATCACATATTAGTTGAGCTCATTGTCCTGGCCTGGGGATGAGGAGACCTGGGTGGTTACTCGGGCTTTACACATAGCTGTGTGTCCTTAATTATGTTCCATCAACTTGGAGCTTCAGTCTCCTCACCTGTAAAGAGGGGGTGACACCTCATGCCTTGCTTGTTATCATGAGGATGAGATGACACCATGTCTGTGAAGGTGCTGTGCAAATGTGAAAGATTATTTCCTTTCTTCTTCTTCTTTTTTTCTTTTTTAAATTTTGTTTTGGTGTTTTGTTTTGTTTTGTTCTCTGAGGAATTATTTCTTGAAAGACCTTCAGGCAATAGGGGGCAGTCTTGGCCCAAAATCCAGTTTCCCGCTCCAGGTGTCAAGAAACTGGTGCTGCTACAACGATGGAAGCCTCCTTGCTATGACAATGTGTTACTGAACTCAATTGTTCCAGTAATAGTCCCCTGATTCCCCATTCTCCAGACTTTGGCAAAGGCCCTGCTTCTCCTGGCAGGTCAGTTCTGTAGTGTTATTCTAAGAGCCATGAGCCTGTTTCTCCAGCCTCACTAACCTACTCTATGCTTCCATTTCCCTGTGTTAAATTTCTTTCTGATTATAATACCTACAATAGCTTCCTATAAACTGAATTAATCTGATGGAAACAGCCTTTTTGACTTCCCAAGCCACTGAACCTCATAGAAAAGTGCAAAGAACAATTCTGTTTTTAACCAGAAATCAAATGTTAACTTCCATTTTCATATTGCTTAAGTATTCTAAATCCACGTTTCAGGGACTTAAAATGTGAACATTTATCATCTTGGTGAACCATAATGAATTGTAGATTGTGGGTATTTTATTATATAAATCAGGGAACCCAAATTCAAATGCCTTTAGAGGGGATCCTTGGGTGGCTCAGCAGTTTAGCGCCTGCCATCGGCCCAGGGCGTGATCCTGGAGTCCTGGGATCGAGTCCCACATCAGGCTCCCTGCATGGAGCCTGCTTCTACCTCTGCCTGTGTCTCTGTCTCTCTGTCTCTCTCTCTCTCTCTGTGTGTGTGTGTGTGTGTCTCTCATGATAAATAAATAAAATCTTTTTTTAAAATGACTTTAGGGATCAGGGAGTTTTATGTGAATGAGAGATGGCATCAGCTGGAGGAAATAGGGAGTGGGAAGAACTGTGGCAAATTGGAGCATAGATACTGTATCTAGATAGAGTTAACTCCAATGTTTGAAAACACAATGGTGGCCAAACAAAAAATGCATCCAGAAGTCATCTGGAATTTTTTTTCTATTATAAAAGTAATTAACGGGATCCCTGGGTGGCTCAGCAGTTGAGCATCTGCCTTTGGCTCAGGGCATGATCCCGGAGTCCCGGGATCAGGTTCCATATCAGGCTCTCTGCATGGAGCCTGCTTCTCCTTTCTCTTCCTATGCCTCTGCCTCTCTGTGTGTGTCTCTCATGAATAAATAAATAAAACCTTTTTTAAAAAAGTAATTATGCTATCTAAAAATTGGAAAAGAGACTAAAGTAACTCTAATCACAGGACGTTAAAATAATTATTGTCAAATGCTTGGCATAGTTCATTTTTCATATAGGTTTTTCTTTATAGCACCAGTCCCATAAATGACTCACCAAGCATCTTTCAACATTATTTCAATATCTGAAGACAGGCTCTCTAGACTTTCCAGGTCACCCAAAGTAAATGTACACTTTCATGGTCCTCAGCACAGACTAGCATATGCTTGTGTGCCATGCTGTCCTTGAATACATTCAACACAGCAAGATGGCACATAGTGGGTACTTAATAATTATATGATGGATGATGAATGAATCTCTCCACTGGGGTCTAGCCCAGAACCTACCAGGTGGTTACTGGTAGTCAGTGAGATGTAATTAAAAAAACAAAATCAGGTCTTTCCTTCCCTCTTCCCTTCCTCCCTCCCTTCCTCCCTCCCTTCCTCCCTCCCTTCCTTCTTTCCTTCTTTCCGGATTTACTGATATTTAATTCACATACCATGAAACCACCCTTTTCCCCCAGAACAGTTCTTAGTTACTCCTCTCACGAAAAATCTGCACAATCACCACAGATAGTCACTGCAGTCTTTACTCCTCCTGCTGTCCGATCTCCAGCTCACTGCCAGCACCAACACTGGCTTTTGCAGTCCCCTTAACTCTCTTTCTGTTCTCATGTTCCTTTCACTGTTTTCTTGTGGTCTTTTTCTCCTCATACAGACCATGTCTTACAAGTCTATGTTGGGGTCCATTTTTCTTTGCATAATCCAAGCAGTCATAAATCATGCCAAAGCCAGTTGTCTTGCCACTGATAAGAGAAAGAAGCAGAAAAATGTTCACCTTCAGCCCAGAAGGCTGACCTGTAAGCCTGCATGGTTTCGATAAGGATCAAATAAGTACTGGTTTCTACATTCTTACAGGGTCTCATGATTGCCTGGACCTCTTAGGGACAGTTCATATCAAACTGAGTGATAAGCACCAGAGAACTCTTGCAAAAGTTGTTTTTTAGTAGAAATTCAAAGAAGACATCTATGACCTAATCCTCTCCACATCTTCCCACCCCATGCACTAAGCATATAACCACCAGCTCCAAACAGCAAAAGGGCAGCTTTTTCTGTCCCCAGGTCCCGTCATCCTGATGCTTAAATAAAATTACTAAACTGCACCATAAAACGTCTCAAGAATTCTTTCTTGACCACCTCTCTCGATCCAGCAACACCACCACCAAAATTGGTTCTGAATCCAAATACGAAGATGACATCTCATATGGTCTTAAACATTTTGGCTAGTTTTTGCCAGAATTTCTGTCTTAGGTACTGTTGTATTTCCAGGGTGAAGAACACCAATGACCACTTATTTCCGCTGAAGTAATAGGTTGGCCACGATTCTTGGTCTGGGTAGTTACTGTGACGTTCATGATGGCGGCCAAGCTACATGCAGCCAGGGAGGAAAAGAGCAAAATCACCCTATTCAAATGTACTGCTCAGTGGTTGTTAGCATTATTCAGAGTTGTTCAACCATTACCTCTACCTAATCCCAAAACATTTCAACATCTCTGAAAGAAACCTTGTATCCTTTAGCAGTCACTCTTCATTCCCCATAGTCCCCAGCCCCTAGCCACCACCAATCTACTTTCTGTCTCTATGGATTTGGAATGAAATCATACAATATGTGGCCTTTTGTGTCCGGCTTCTTTCACTTAGCATCATATTCTCAAGTTTCTTCCATGTGGAACTTCATTCCTTTTTATGGCTGACTCATATTGCTTTGTGTGGATTGGCCACATTTTGTTTGTCATTTGATGGACATTTGAGTTGTTTCCACTTTCTGGCTACAGGGAACAATGCTGCTATGACTGTTCACTCACGTTTGTGTGGGGACACATGTTTTCAATTCTCTGGGGTATATACCTAGAGCAGACAAAATAAATTCTTTCTGCTTGGAATCAGAAGCTTGTTGGGGCAGGGACTCTGAAATCAGATTAGAAATCAAAAAGGGGTGTGCTTTGGTTACATCTGTCAAAGGCTGGCAAGTTTTAAACAATAACAAAGAGCTATTTCCACAGAAAGGCTAGATCAGCTTTCTGCTGGTCTGGGCATGAATACACCCTTTCCCTTCTAGTGCCACAGAAATCTGTTTTAAAATTAGGGAAGAGTAAAGGAAACAAAGGGATTTTCTTTCTTTCTTTTCTTTTCTTTTCTTTTTTTCACTTTCAGTTTTAAAATGTCACTTTATTGAGAACAATTTTAATATATTATAATAATCAAGGGTGCCTAGGTGGCTCAATCAGTTAAGCGTACAACTCTTGATCTTGATCTTGGCTCAGATCCTGATCTCAGGGTTGTGAGTTGGAGCCCTGACTTATTATTGCCCAGCACGGCATATACATTTTATATATGCATATATATGTTAAAATAATCAGAAATGAAGACAAATTTTACTATAATACCACCTAATCAGATCAGCCATCTGGGGACTCCGTGTTAGGCCTCTGTCCATTTGATCTCAGACCCTGGCAGCCCTCTCTGCTCGCCCTCGAATCACAAGGAACTACATCTCCCAGGCTCCCTTGCACTCCACTTCCTGATATGTTGGGCCAGCTACAGAAGCTGACAGAAGGGCAGAGGAAGGAGGAAGCCAGTACATCTCTCTGCTTTGGGAAGCAAATCCACTGGTGACTACATCTTCAAGGCTCCAGCTCCTCTGAAGTTCCAGTTTCACTGGGTAGTCTTAGCTCCTGGATTCTGGTAACTCCACACTTGCTTTCATCCCTTCCAGTTCTAACTGGAACAGTCTCTTTCTGCTACTGCTAATCAGTGGGTTGTCTCACCATCTCTTGCCTGGCTCCTCATTTCTATCATCACCTGTTGTGATGTGTTCAAAATATATCTACAAACTCAGGGCGCCTGGGTGGTTCAGTCAGCTAAGTGTCAGGCTCTTGGTTTCCGCTCAGGTCATGATCTTGGGGTCATGGGATCGAGTCCCATATTGGGCTCAGTCCTCAGTGCAGCGTCTGCTTGAGATTCTCTCTCACCCCGTCCCTCTCTGTCTCTCCCTCTGCTCGTGCTCACTCTCTTTCTGTCTCTCTCTCTCAAATAAATAAATAAAATCTTTTAAAATAAAATCTCAGGGATGCCTGGATGGCTCAGTGGTTGAGCATCTGTCTTTGGCTCAGGGAGTGATCCCAGGATCTGGGATTGAGTCCCACATTGGGATCCCTGCATGGAGCCTGCTTCTCCCTCTGCCTATGTCTCTGCCTCTCTATATATACCTCTCATGAATAAATAAATAAATAAATCTTTTTAAAAAATTTAAGATAAAAAATAAAAAAACCTCAAATTTAATACATTGTATATATACAATTTATTATTTATAAATTAATAATTGTATACACACACGCAATTTTTTACCTGTTCCCTTCAAAAGGTGGAGCCTAATTCCCCTCTCCTGGTTTGGGAGGGAGAACTAACTTAGTGACTCACTTCTGTCTAAGAGAATGTGGCAGATGTGACAGATGTGTGGCTTCTGAAGCTAGGTCATGAAAGGTATTGTAGCTTCTGCCTTGTCTTGACTCACTTCCTCTGGGGAAGATAGCTATCATTTCATAAGGACACTCTAGCTGCTCTGGGAGAGATCTACATGGAGGAAAACTAGTGCCTCCCACCAACAGCTACCAAGTGCACCATCTTGGAAGTGACTTCTCCAGCCCCAGTTAAGCCTTCAGATGACAGCAGCCCTTGCCAATATCTTGACTACAACTTTACAACAGACCCTGTATCAGAACTGGTTGGCCAAGTTGCTCCCAAATTCCAGATCTACAGAAACTATGAGAGATAATGATGACTATTGTTTTAAGCCACTAAGTTTTGGGGTAACTTATTACACAGCAATAGATAACTAATGCATGTGTTTAACCAATTTCCAACATTAAAACCTTTTTGTTGGAGGAGCACCTGGATGGCTTAATAGGTAGAGCATGCAACTCTTTGACCTTGGGGTTGTAAGTTCAAGCCCTACAATGGATATAGAGATTACTTAAAGATAAAATATTTTTTTAAGATTCTTTTTATTTATTCAAGAGAGACACACAGAGAGAAGGCAGAGACATGAGCAGAGAGAGAACCAGGCTCTCTGCAAGGAGCCTGATGTGGGACTTGATCCCCGGACCCTGGGATCATGACCTGAGCCAAAGGCGAACACTCAACCATTGAGCCACCCAGGTGCCTCCAATCAACAATTTTCATGTCCATAAATACAGTGATTAGTTTAGGGGTAGGTACGTGTCCCAAGCTGAGCCAGTGATATGCAACGAAAATTCATTGAATTGGGATGCCTGAGTGGCTCAGCAGTTGGGCATCTGCCTTCGGCTCATATCGTGATCCTGGGATCTGGGATCAAGTCCCGCATCAGGCTCCTGCAGGGAGCCTGTTTCTCCCTCTGCCTGTGTCTCTGCCTCTCTCTCTCTCTCTCTGTCTCATAAATAAATAAATAAATAAATAAATAAATAAATAAATAAATAAATAAATAAACTTTTTTTTTTAAAGAAAATACATTGAATTATCTATTATTATTGGCAGATGTAACCCTACATGTCCTGGAGACCACCTTTGCCACCATGTGTGGATAGCCTGCATGAAAGCGATGTCAACATTATGCAAACCCAAAGCTGAGGGCCAGAGAACAAAAGAAGTCAGATGATATGGCTATCACTAAGGCCCTGGATCCAGCTGTGCCTGATCCACATTCTGGATTTCTCATTTGTATAACTTTTTGTGTAAGCCAGTTTGAGTTGTGAAAGACTTTGACAAACTCCAGAAATCCAAAGCAAGAGGCATTACAACTACAGACTTCCTCATGTCTGTTTGGAGATGCTCATGGTAAGCAGGCTCAATGCTACAAATGCTTTAAAATAATTTAAGTCAATTAATTGGCAGCATGATTTAGACATTTTGAACAGTACCTAAGGAAAGATTGTGTTTTCAAAAACTAGGTTATGGTCTAGAAATATAATTTTTTTTCTCTCTCTCTTTTTTAAGATTTTAAAGTAATCTCTATACCCAACATGAGGTTTGAACTTACAACCTTGAGATCAAGAGTCACATGGCCTATGGACTGAGCTAGCCAGGTCTCTAGAAATAGAATTCTTATCCCTGTCACTCATTAAGAGGCTCATACTCAATTCCTTTTCCAGGAGTGTCTTTGATTCCTCACCCGTAAAATGGAGTACTTACTGTCTCCTCAGGACGGCTGCTTACTGTCTGCTTCACAGACTGAGTGAGTTGCTCTTATTCTGGGTTTCAATAAAATTCTTGTGTAGTTCTATCATGGTCTTTAATTGTGTTATTTGTTACTATTTGGATATAATTTATTTGCCATACAATTTACCCTTTTGAACTATACAATTCAATGGTTTTTGTTATATTCACAGAGTTGTGCAACCATCACCACAATTGATTTTTTTTTTCATTCTTAAAGATTAATAGTCTATGCAGCTGAAAAGCCTAAAAGTAGCAAAAAATCAGGCACAGATTGATCCCGTTGCTCAAGTTCCATCACTGGGATGCAGTTTGCTCTCTCATGTCTAAGCCCTGCTTTCCTTCTGTTGCCTTCTTACTCAGGCTGGCTCTCCCCAGACAACCTCAGTATGGCCCAGGGTTCCTGGGGAGAAGGGCAGGAGTGGTCCCCCTGAAGAAGACCAGAAAAATGGGATGGATTCTGGAGGGAGAACCCACACTCTAGTCACTGGACTGTGAGCTCCCTGAGGGCAGGGACTTCTGCCCGAATTTCTCTTTGCATTCCCAGAGTGCCTCCTGGCCCACAGCAAGTTCTTAATGGCGGTGAGCCTCCTGCCTGGAGAAAGCTCTTTTCCACCCCACCCTCTTCTGGGGCCTGGTTCATCTCTCAGAAACAAGGAGTTCTGTGAAGAGACATAGGTTCCTACAAAGTGATCCTAGCTTTCAGAGGGAGGTACTGTTTTTACAAGAGACAACAAGAAGGCGGAAACTACTCAAAAATCCCTGGATTGGGACACCTGGGTGTCTGTGGTTGAGCACCTGCCTTCAGCTCAAGTTGTGATCCTGGGGTCCTAGGATCGAGTCCCACATTGGGCTCCCCGCAGGGAGTCTGCATCTCCCTCTGCCTGTGTCTCTCATGAATAAATAAGTAAAATCTTTAAAACAACACCAAAAAAAGTCCCTGGATTGATGAAGTGATATACAACAAGTGGTCCATCCATACAGTGGACTATGATTCAGCCATAAAAATGGAAGGAAGCCCTGACCTATGCTACAATGGACCTTGGAGACATGAGGCTCAGTGAAAGAAGCTGGTCATAAAAGACCAGATACTACATGATTCCGTTTACGTGATATATCCAGAATACTTAAGTCCATGGAGACCAAGAGCAGATTAATGATTACTTTGGGCCATGTGTCAGAATAGGGAGGAAATGGGGAGTCATAGCTAATGGGGTTTCTGTTTGGGGCAATGAAAATGTTCCAGAACTAGACAGTAGTGATGGTTGTATGTATCTGTGAATATACCAAAAATCTTTGAATTGTATCCTTTAAATGTGCGGATTTTCATGACATGTGAACTGTCTCAATCAAGCTGTTCAAAACAAACACGCACATGGAGAAGTTTTCATCCTCCAAGGTACAGTCCAGAAGCAGCCTGGCCAGCAGGGTAAGATGGCAGAGCAAGATGGCAGAAAGGACAGCCAGAAACCATGAATTCCAAATAGGATCATGCTCCAAAGCTAGTTTCTCCCTGGACCATATTTCTGCCAGGAGTATCAAATCACTTTCATGACTTCGAGAGAGAGGAGACATCCAGGAGCTGGCCTGGCCCTGACTGCTGGCCTCTGTGTTCTTGTGTTGAAATAACAGTTTCACAGAACACCAACATCAGACAAGGCCACCTTGTGACATGATGAAATGAGACAAATATGAGCATGGTACAGGCCATGAAATACCCAACATCTCCCTCTCTTGGCTAATATGAGTAACAGCCAATTTACCAAATACAGTCTCAGCCTGGCTCTAGTCTGTCCTCCATCTAGATGAGATTTCAGAGCTCCAGTCCTAGAATGATCCCTGCTTCCTGACAGCACGCGCTCTAGAGCAAAATTCCTAGGTCCTTAAATTCTCCCCAGAATCAGCCAACCGAAGTCCAAATCCTACAAACCATTCTTTCTAACACCCCAACGTTCTCTTACTGTGATGCCCCACGATTCCCCATGGTATGCATTCTCCCACACTTCAATGAGCATTAAATCCAACTGGCTTAGCTACTAGTGTGTTCCTCGTGGTCTTTGGCTGGAAGACACTGACAGCTTGTAAACATCTGCTTTTTATGGTTTGTTTTTTGTTTTTTACAGCAAAGATAGCTCAAAGAGAACACAGAGGTCAATCACATGCTCTATGACTATAGACAGACCTGGCCTGAATCTCAGCTCAGCCACTTAACCGTGTGACCTGTGGCAAGTTAATTCATCTCTCCGGGCTTCAGTTTCGTCTCCTACTTGCTTCTTTATGTCATGCTTCTGCTCAAAAACCCTACAGTGGCTCCCAGAATCATTCAGAATCAAGACCATAGAAACTATCTTTCTCTGGGGGCCCCCACCCTCCACTCTGTCTATTGTGGCCCCTGCCCTTGCAGAGCCAATCAAGCCCATAGACCCTCTTGCTGGTCCTCCACCTCACCAGGCACACTCCTGATTCAGAGGCTCTGCACTTCCTGTTCCCCCTGCCTAGAACCACCTCCCTCAAGTTTTATTTTCCTTTTTTTTTTTAAGATTTTATTTATTTATTTATTTGACAGAGAGAGGGCATGGGGGCAAGCGGGGGGAAGTGGCAGGTGGGGGAGAAGGAGAAGCAGACTCCCCACTGAGCAGGGAGCCTGATCTGGGACTCAATCCCAGGACCCTGGGATCATGACCTGAGCTAAAGGCAGATGGTTCACCGACTGAGCCATCCAGGGCCCTCCCCAAGTTTTCTCTTGGCTTCCTCCCTCACTCTAGCCAGGTCTCTGCTCCAATGTCACCTCCTGAAGAAAAAGCCCCCCAATTCCATCACCCTCAAAGCCAGTGGTTCTTTTGTGTGTGTGTGTGTGTGTGTGTGTGTATTTTTTTAAATGTAGGTTTGATTTGCCAGCATATAGTATAACACCCAGTGCTCATCCTGCCAAGTGCCCCCCTCAGTGTCCATCACCCAGTCACCCCATCCCCCCCCCCACCTCCTGTTCCACTATCCCCTGTTCGTTTCCCAGAGTTAGGAGTCTCTCACGTCCTGTCATCCTCTCTGATATTTCTCACGCATTTTCTCTCCTTTCCCCTTTAATCCCTTTCACTATTTCTTATATTCTCCAAATGAATGAGACCATATAATGATTGTCCTTCTCCGATTGACTTACTTCACTCAGCATAATACCCTCCAGTTCCATCCACATCGAAGCAAATGGTGGGTATTCACCCTTTCTGATGGCTGAGTAATATTTCATGTGTATATAGACCACATCCTCTTCATCTAGTCATCTGTCAAAGGACACCGAGGCTTCTTCCACAATTTGGCTATTGTGGACATTGCTGCTATAAACATTGGGGTGCAGGTGTCCTGCCATTTCAATGCATCTGTATCTTTGGGTTAAATCGCCAGCAGTGCAATTGCTGGGTTGTAGGGCAGGTCTATTTTTAACTCTTTGAGGAACCTCCACACAGTTTCCCAGAGTGGCTGCACCAGTTCACATTCCCACCAACAGTGCAAGAGGGTTCCCTTTCTCCACATCCTCTCCAACATTTGTTGTTTCCTGTCTTGTTAATTTTCCCCATTCTCACTGGTGTGAGGTGGGATCTCATTGTGGTTTTGATTTGCATTTCCCTGATGGCCAGTGAGGCGGAGCATGTTCTCATGTTTAAGCCAATGGTTCTTAACTGGGGTGAGCAGCAGAATCACCCAGGGACATTGGTAAGAGTACAAAGTCCCAGCCTGTTCTACTTCATCCCTGCTGGTAGGAATATAAAATAGCACAACGATCTGGGAGAATGGTTAAGCGTTTCTTGAAAAGTTAAACATACATTTAACATGTAACCCAGAGATTATTTCACTTCTATTGCACTATTGCACCATGTGCACACGCATGTGTCCAGAAAGACTTCCATGTGAAGATTCATAATATTTGAATGAAGCAAAAACTGGAGATGACCCAAATGTCCAACAGTAGGTAAATAGACCAACAAATGTAGTATGACTGTAGAGTGGAATATTAGCAACAAAAAGAATGAGCTAGTTTTGTTTTTATTTTAAAGATTTTATTTTTTATTCATGAGAGACACACAAAGAAAGAGAGAGAGAGAGGCAGAGACGCAGGCAGAGGGAGAAGCAGGCTCCCTGTAGGGAGCCTGACGTGGGACTCGATTCCAGGTCTCCAGGATCATGCCCTGGGCCGAAGGCAGGCGCTCAACCACTGAGCCACCCAACTGTCCCAAGAATGAGCTAGTTATACATACCACCGTTTGAATGAATCTGAAAACCCTTATGCTGAGGAAAGAAGCTGGACCCAAAAAAAGGTGCATTCAGCTTACCTCCTGTGATGTATGATTTTGAGTAAAGAATATGGACATTTCTGTTGAGTATAAACCTAGAAGTGGAACTGGTAGGTCACAGAGTAGGCATATGTTCAGGTTTAGTAGAGTCTGCCTCTTTTCCAGCAGACTCATTTCCACAAATACTACTAACAGCATTGTCTGAGGGGTTGACCTTAGCAAATCTGAAAACTGGAACAGGTCTAGTGTCCTTGAAATGTGGAGAATAAAGGTGCTCCTGGGAAGTTCAGTCAGTGAAGCATGTGACTTCAGCTCAGGTCGTGATCTCAGGGTGGAGCCCCATGTTGGGCTCCCTACTCAGAGTCTCTTTGCCCCATTGCCCCTGCCCTCCCCCTTCCCCCTGCCCTCTCCTTGCCCTCCCCCTCCCCTGCTCATGCTCTCTCTCTGTCTCTCAAATGAATAAATAGAATCTTTTTTTAAAAACGTGGAGAATAAAGAAGGGCTAAATAACCCCTGCCCCAGCCCCCAAAGAACAATGGAAATCATGCAAAAAATTTAAGTAAGAAAGTGGCATGGGCAAAATTGCATTTTAGAAAGATTCATGACTGTAGGGTGGAACTGCAGGCATACACCACCAGCCGTGGGGTTTTGCTGTCTGCATGGTAGTTGTGGCCTCCAGCCTTCTTCCTCATGCCTGACTTAAGAGGCAAGAATGGACCGTGCTGAGCAGATGAGGATGTAACATGTTTTGGCCACTCACCTCTTGTAAAGTTGAAAAAAA